ACGAAATGCATGTTTTATTCATTGGTATCTGGATGACTGTATCAGACTATAATACCAATCCCACAGTAATTATACTAGTTGGGATTGGAATCTTAACGAAATACATGTTTTATTCATTGATATCTGAATGACTGTATCAGACTATAATACCAATCCCACAGTAATTATACTAGTTGGGATTCGATTCTTAACGAAATGCATGTTTTATTTATTGGTATCTGGATGACTGTATCAGACTATAATACCAATCCCACAGTAATTATACTAGTTGGTATTGGAATCTTGACGAAATGCATGTTTTAATTTTTTGTATCTGGATGACTGTATCAGACTATAATACCAATCCCACAGTAATTATACAAGTTGGGATTGGAAATTTTCCCGAAATGCATGTTTTAATTTTTTATAAATGGATGACTGTGTCAGACTATAATACCAATCCCACAGTAATTATACTAGTTGGGATTGGAATCTTGCCGAAATGCATGTTTTAATTTTTGGTATTTGGATGACTGTATCAGACTATAATACCAATCCCACAGTAATTATACTAGTTGGGTTGAAAAAGACCTTTGTTTGATGTTACCCTTACGAAAATGTTCTATAGAATCCTATAGAATATGGTATAGAATATTCTATATCCTATAGAATATTCAATGGGACTTGCAATCCTATAGAATATTCTATTGTCATATTCTATAGAAGTTCCAGATCCTATAGAATATTCTATTGCACATTCATATGCAACATCGAATAACATATTCTATAGAATATTTTCTAATGAAATAGTATGGGATATTCTATAGATAATTTCATAGCATGTGATAAACCTATAATTGATATCGATTTAAGCCTAATTTATACTGCCTAGTACACAGCAAAAATCGGTGAAAGTATTGTGTTTTTAGAAAAATATTTCTTAACTAAGAAATCTGTTTTTTGCAAGACAATTTGTTCTTGAAATAAGTTTGTTCTTTTCAAGACAATTTGTTCTTGAATATTTTCTAATAATAACTTAATATACTTATTTCACAGTACATTTGTTTTCTGCAATGAGATATTAATATTCATTAATATGTTTTCTGATTTTCTCATCGCAGATTGACTGGAAGCCTGGTACCTAGTTTACGTGTGAGGGCGCAAAGCTTCATGGGATAGCGTCGTTTTAAAATTAGTGATGGGCGATACCACTAGTATCGATTCGATACGATACCGATTACTTTTTCGTAAAAGTATCGAGGTATCGATTACCCAAGCGATTACTACGACGACGATTGTATTTAAGAATTTTCCGCCATTATAATCCATGAAAAACAAAAATTTATTTATTTCCCGCCTTTTTCGTAATTTATTCTGTCGACGAGGTCAGGAATATTAATCAGGAAAGTGGATAGAATGTGAAATAAAGTAAAGGAAGTTTCATTAAATTGGTAAATGCAGCAAAATACAAAAAAGTACATAACTTTTATTAGAAATAGCCATGAAAACGATGACACAACTACAGAATTATAATGAATGTCTAATTTTAAAAGTAATCAAAACACTTTTTCGATACCGTGCAGTATCGACTACTTCCGATTTGGGCCTGGTATCGGGTGGTATCGATATCAAGTAATCGGTAATCGCCCATCACTATTTAAAATTGCAATTTCAAATTACTCGCACATGGACGGATTTGAAGGGAAATTTTCCCTTATATTTTCAACCAAAACGATGGAAACGGCATTGGAAAGTTCTTAAAATGTTATTCAGATCTCACAGGTAAGAATATTTTCATGTTTGATGCTATTTAAGCACTTTAATTCCGAAATAATGTAGTGAATTTGAGTCATGTGTGAAAATATTCCGTTGAATGTTTGAATTTTTGCCGCGTCAATTTGCATAAAAACATACAAAATTTCGGTTTCTAGCGATGGAAGAAAGAATAAAATATGAATTCGAATATATATTATTGGGAATTCTATACTAAATTACGCACTGTTGTTTAATTATAACAATCCACAATATAAAGTGTCTTTGCCTTTGCCGCAGACATTCCAACCTCCGATTCCTCAAAACTGGGACACTTCCCAATTTTCTCATTTTACTTAAATAAACGCCTCCCTCGAATAAACGCCTCCCTCAAATAAATGCCGCAGACCTGCCAACTCTGAAGATAAGAATGCGTGACCAGGGCCGTTGCGAGGACTTTGCCTTTGGGGGGGGGGAGGTTAGATTTACCGCCTGAATTGTTTCAATTCACCTGATTTTGCGACGCCCGCGAGGCGCGATCATGGTTGGCGCCGAGCAAAAAATTTTGAAAATTTGAATTCTCTAGACCGTCGGAATAGCATTTTTAGAGTCTTTCCTACCCAAGATTTCAATGTTTTACTACTGCCTAACAATGAAGATAAGTAAAATAACTACTGATCAATATGACAGTGTTACTTACAGTTTGATGTGACTAGGAAAATTGAGAGAATTTTGGAAATTTGGAGTCTCCAGATCGTTAGAAAGCGTATTTGGCCATGTACCCCCAGGCCACGATGCATCTGAACGTCTTTATTTGGTTGGTCGATTGTTAACTCTCAGTAATTCTACGTTTGCACACAGCGTTGTCAATGAGTTATTGCACGAAAAGTGGGATAGCGTCATATAACGGTAAAAATGCGTAACTTTAAGATCATTTTAGTCATGCGTGCGGGACAGCGGGAACAAAAGCAGAATGCGTAACTTTCACGCGAAATGCGGGAACCTTGGCAGGTCTGAATTGTCGCGCTTTTCTCAATGATGTGGTGTCTATTTGGGTTAGTGTTGAAATTGGCTGAGTTGAAACCCATAAGTAATATAACATCTTCTCAACAAGCTTTAATTTCATTGAAGTACTGTACTGGCGAAATTGTTTCATTTTACTATTGGTCTATGATCAGTCACTGATCAGAGGAGGAATGAGGGTCTTCCCGAAATGCAACGCGCGAATCAGTGCGGTTCATTATTATTCAAGCTAGTTACTCTCAACGCCCCGTTCGATTAAAAACTGTTGAAATATATTGCGATTTTTGCCGTGAAGATCTCGTTTTCTCAAAGGTATGTTTCGATAACCTTTTTGTTTAGTTATTTAATAACAGAAGATTTGAATAATTTTGTATATATATCGCATTTTACTTATGTTAAATTCCCATTGTATTTATGCAATGTTTGGGGTGTTGGAAAAGTGGCATTGAAATATTCTGGAGTAAATTGTACTTTTTTACAAGAAAACTAAAATAAAATTACATCAGTGAATTCAGGAATGTTTACTCTTTATATTGATACTTTAAAACATGAATTTACTCCATAAAACCGAAGAGTTATCGCGGTTTGAAAATGAGCTATTTTTGCTAATTATCGAATATAGTATCAATATAAAGAGTAAACATTCCTGAATTCACTGATGTAATTTTATTTTAGTTTCCTTGTAAAAAAGTACAATTTACTCCAGAATATTTCAATGCCACTTTTCCAACACCCAAAACATGCATAAATACAATCGGAATTTAACATAAGTAAAATGCGATATATATACAAAATTATTCAAAACTTCTTTTATTAAATTACTAAACAAAAAGGTTATCAAAACATACCTTTGAGAAAACGAGATCTTCACGGCAAAAATCGCAATATATTTCAACAGTTTTTAATCGAACGGGGTGTTGAGAATAAATAGCTTGAATAATAATGAGCCGCAGATTCGCGCGTTGCATTTCGGGAAGACCCTCATTCCTCCTCTGGTCACTGATCCTCTCGTATTCAAGAGCCCGCGATTATTGCGCCCGCTTCTGTTACGCTGCTTTACTTCATGTAGCCCTGGCAAAATGAATAGGAATTGAAAGCGAACGCTAAATTGTCAAAACAACATATGTCACTCTGGTATGTCACGAGAATTACAACGATCGGCGACAAACTCGGCAATTGTTTGGGGCAACTAGAAGCTCCCATTTCATTAATATGTATTGAACCAAACGAATTCATTGATATTTGTCACATGAGCCTTATTTGAAGAATACAACTATTGAAATACTACAGAAACCGGGACAATAAGAAGAAAACCTGGACACCGGGACAACATAGTCCAAACCGGGACAGTCCCGGGTAAACCGGGACGGTTGGAATGTTTGCTTTGGCATAATTTGGCACTGCTATAGACGACCTTTGTCAAAGTATATGAAATATATTAATATTATTAAGATATGTTATCATTTTAATACTTGAAATATAAGTATTGATGTGATATTTTCAGTGTGTTGAAAGCTGCAAATTGCAGCACATTATTTGCCCAAAATTCAAATTTGGGAATGGGTTAATGAGCTTCAGGTGTATAAAATGATGTTTGTAAAGCTGGAATAAGCACTATAGTCACTAGCTAGTGCTGATAAAAAGCCTCAAATGTTGTCCTTTTACATTTTTAGATTAAATATTGCAGCTGGGCTATAGCCCGGCTCAAAATATTGTTCTCAACAGTTGGAAATTTCTGGATTGAGTTGGCAAACTGGTGTTGTGAGGTAAAAATAACACTGTCCAAGTTTATTGCAATTGATACAGAATATCGTAGCCTTGCCTATAGCCAAACTAGTCTTCTTAATTAGTGCTTTATATGAAGAAAATTATATACTGGCCTAGCTAAAGTGGCCCCCCAAGCCAGACAAATCAGTCTGGATCTTGTAAACACCCCTAAGCTGGGCCGTGGCAACTGGTATGTGTTTAATTGAGTTAATTAAGAGAGGATGTCCACAAAAATCAAACATAAGGCGGCCACGACGGAAAAATCGATTTTGCTCAAATTTTGCCCAGATATACCTTATTATATCGGAAAATGCACCATATATTTTTTTAGGTCAAATGCTTTTTTAACTTTGAGAAAATGCCGTTTTAACACGACCACCCTAAATCGCCATTTTGTCTGGGAAAATATGCGCTGATTTTACTGACAAATTTCACGACGACAACCGTTTATAATCGATCTAAAACCCTAAAAATCTTGTTTTCGGTTATTCAAAGGACCGGGTATTTAATCCATTGAGCAAAACTGCTATCCCCTTGAAGAGTAAAGTTGTCTGGTGTTAGACAGAGTAAAATAATAAAGTAGCCAGGATGCAATGAAACTTAATGGGTAACATTTACTTATTTTTCATTTTTGTATAGTAATGCCATGCCTAATAGATATTGTTTCCAACTTGGAAGAGCAATTACGACTCTTGCAAA